CGGTCTTTTAGACAGTCTTCGAACGAATACTCCAGAGCGGCCTCGAGTCGAAATTGCGGGTTTTCGGAATGCTCATTCGGCGGATCATAATGAATCCTGATAACGAATAAGGGACTCGCGCGATCCCGGAATTTTGTATGAGTGTCACCGTGGGCACGTCTTTCAATATCCTCGAATCACCTGGAATTCCATCGATTTTGTCTATCGATCAGGGGTATCGGGAAATCTTATCTAGATAGTTTTCCGAGCGACAATCAGAGCCTAATATCGCAATTGCTATGAGAGATTCGTTCGAGCGACCACGTGTGCGAGCCTTTGCGACCAAAATCTGCTGATACGAAACAGGCGAGAGTGTCGTGAAAAATGAGTAAATTAATTAAAACGCGATGATGTTAGCCGAACTGCCACGGGGAAATGTCGTCGGGATGCGACGAGGAGTTATCCAGTCGTGGTGTGAGAAGCGATAAGGTGGTTGGATGAAAGAAAAAAAAAATATGATATGGAGGAAAGTGAAACTTTGCCCCCCCTCGCGAGGAATTTAGTGGGATCGCTTATATTCGCGAGTCGTCGCAAATTGGGGCCGCAGAGGCTGTGATTAGGATTTAAGGGTTGCCTAGATTACTACGGCCAGTATTTTTCATCGTATCGATATTACGAGACATTCGTCCTTTTAACTCTTAGACGTTCTTGAGGTGATATGAAAGGGTCATACTCCATATACCAAAACCTGGAGATATAAAACTTTTCTCCAAACTGGGCGCACCGAATAATCTGAAACTTTGCCGCGTGATTATGGAGGTTCTAATTTCAATTTTGGAAAAATCATTCTTTTCTTTTTTTGGTTCTTGGGTCCGGGAGAGGTACAGAATTTTCCTTCGAAAAATGATGTTTCGCGAGTTTCAAGACCTTTATTGGGACCTCCGTAATCACGCGTTGAAGTTGCAGATTGTTCGGTGCAGCTTTAGAAAAAAGTGTTATAAATATTTTGACTTTTTGGTATGTATATATGACACTCTCATAACACATTAAGAGGGAAAACCGCAGAAATCGAGCAAGGCGATGTGGAGAATTTGTTCATTTTTTGTTTTTCTTTCTTTCTCTCCTTGTTTTTTTTTTTTTGTAGTCACGGAAACGACGTTTCATTCAACGGGAGAATGGTGTTTATCGTTATTTAATTTGTCACTGTTAGTTCGACGAGGCCTAATTGTTCTAATTTTTCATCCCAAGGAAGAATAAGGGAAGTCTGGAAAAATGTCGCCTTGCTCGTAATACGCGTCGCAGTATTTTTAGTCGCGTAGATATATATCGTACATTCTTACAATTAGTGGCTCGAGAAAAATGGCGGATAGGACATTTACTCGTGGGATTTAATACCGCGAACGAGCGTTTAGGTATATATTATATACACTCGTCCCGAGTGGCGTCGAAACGCGACCCGTTTCCGATAATTACATACGAGCGATCGATCGATCGATCCTCGATCGGTCGCGCAAGTCGGTGCTCAAATCGCTTAAGGTAAGGCACGGCGATATTAGAGTAAGACGGAACGAAGGCGGGAAAGAGAAGCGAGAAAGAAAAAGAAGAATGTGCTCTCGTAGGATCGTTTGGCGAGTTAATCTATGTACTTTAGTGGTTAGGGGTCTCGGAGGCGATTTTTTTTTTTGCGTAATCTGGGATTTTCTTTTAATTTAACGACCCGTGGAATGCTCGCCTCGTTCCTTTTCCTTTCCTCCTAAGGTCGCGTTTCCACACTGAAGAAGTGAGGAAAAGTTTTTTTTTTATATATATAAATATTTTCACATTTTGATGTATGTATAGAAGAGAGAAATTCCATATCACCTTAACTTGCACTCGCGTCCAATTTGTGGTCGAAATTGTTATTCTTAACGTGTAATATTTTCGTTCCTATTGTTGTATTACTTTTGCACTCGACCAGTGTCGAGTTTTCTGGGTGAATCAAGCATTTCGTATTTCGGCGAGTCCGTGAGTCACGCTCGGATAAATTGCGCAAGGCGCTCTCCGTGGTGATGTATGACTAATTATTTGCGGTAAATGGAACGACATGACGGAGAGTCTGGCCAAGAGTAAGTCCTCGCCAAGTTGGCCGCGGGCTGTCTAGTAAAGTGCCGGCCATTTCTCGTTTCCTGAATTGTCGGCCATCGCGGGATAATTCGAGAGGCGTCAAAATTTCGGGACCGTCGCGTATTATCGCGGTTATGGTCGATTATGTGATTACATGTCGGGTTTATGGGGGCGAGGTTCTAATGTACTGAAAGGCCCTCCGAGACCCCTTCCTGCTTAATGCGCCGAATGAGGTTCTTCGTTATTTGTTAAGCTTCTTCGATGCACGAGACACCTGTCGCTGGTCTTTCTTGCCTTCTCTTTAAACCCTTTCTAAGGAGTCTCTCGTTCTGGATATTATTTTATGGTACTTAAATTTGTGGGGCCTTCCGGGAATGACCGTCCGTTGTTGCCAGTGGGTTAACCTTTCGCAAACATTGCAGTTCGCTTCACTGATGAAATGTTCCCATATGGAATGAACCTGTTATCATCGATATCTGACTTGATGAAGCGAATTGCAATGTTTTACGAAACCTCGGGTCACTGCACTGAGAAAAAAGAAAATTCATCGAACCAAAGAAATATTTCATTTCTACAAAGAATAATTATTTAACACAAATAAATTGTCATAAGTCCGAAGAAATGTTGCATTTGATTTATTTGAGTTTAGTTCAGTCAAATGATTGTTCCTTGAATTGAGAAAATATTTCTTTGCTTCCTTGACATTTCTTTTCTCAGGGTGGCGACAACGGACGCGAGTCATCTCCGGAAGCCAGCACAAGTTTAAGGAACAACTCAGACCGCAAAAGCTTAATTCCTTAATTATCTTATGAAGTGTTCAGGGTAAAAGGAAAATATATTCCTATAGTGTGGTGAAATGAAGAGGTGGACTTTTGACCCGATTCAACCTAATTTCTCGGTTTAATAAAGACTTCCGGCAGGTGTTAGTGGGTGTACTAGATGCAAGGTGCAGCATATGACAAACGTCATGCGAGAATAATTCTATGTCGGCTCGACCCGGAGATCGCGATGCATTTCTACGAATGCAGGTCTTCCCTTACACTAGTGCACGTTGCGTGTATGTCTTGTGTCGCGACAATCCGCCAGAAATGTTGTTTATATTCACATTCGGTGACGAGTTGAGAGATGAACAAAAAGAATCACGGACAGGCCAGATCGACGGGGGAGAGAAAAAAAAAAGATAACGTGGAGGCAATACCACCGCGTCGTAATTTCTGTCACTTCGATGTTCCGACAGGGAAATTTCTCCGCATTTAGGCGTGTAGATATACATATAGCCATACAGATCTATATACACACGCGTATATGTATATGTATATCCGGATCGCAGTCGCGCGTTACTTCGTAATCTATATATATATATATATAAATTATATATATTACTATTAACATTTACACATGTTGCAATCGTTAAACGAGTGTTCACGATTAATTATTGCGATTGTTTGTACATTTATATCTCTATGTTGTTGAGCGTCGTCGGGCCGACCAAGTCGGGTTGTTCGATATCTTCCTCTTTTTTTTTCTCGGATATATATCTCCCAGAGGGAGAGATTGAGACACTCTCCGGAGAGTTTATGTCGACGCGTTTCTTCGATTTTATTCCGCCGATCTTCGAATCCGGACTCTAGGAGGCCGCCCGTCCTCGTCTCTCAGGTCTCAACCTCGGATTTTGAACTTTTCATCGTCCGATGGGGTTGGAAAAACGTCCTTTCATTTTCCAGTGTCTATGGCGATGGGTCGAAAGAATGAAGAAAAATCAGGCCCACTGGATTTAATCGGTCCGATCGATCGGTATCGATGCGACACCTTCGATGGTGTTCTATTATCTGCGAGAAATCGGAACGATTAATCGAGAGGCGACGAGGGCGAGTCTCGCCGGGTCTCGTGAGCGATATTATTATATTCCTAAACGATATATATTGTTACCGAAGCGCGAGAAAACACGGTGTACCTTGTTGCTTCGTGGACATTTATTAAAAGTATTAAACTATTGTCATTCAAAGAGCGAGTACTTTATCACGGGCGAGGGCACTGGTAAAAATCGACATCTCTGGGGTTGCTGCAATATTTTTTTTCTTTTTCATCCGTCTGGGAAATCACATCTAGGGCTCGAAGCCTTCTAAGAGGAAACTTGAAGAAGACCCTGTTGAGGCTTCGATGCGAAAATTTTCTAGACTCGGGTTTCTATTATCTGTGAACTCGGCCCATTAATGTCGGTAACGATCAATGAGTGGATTAGAAAATTTCGAGGAAAATCCATCATCGCTTGGTCACTCTACCAGTTATATTATATTATTGTATATTATATTATAGTCCAAACTATTTTACGTTCGCCTCTCTCCTCGGGTCGTTCTCTCTGTCGATCCTTTGCGCCTTGTTTTCCATTTTCTTTCGATCTTCTGCCTCCCACCTTGATCTCTCTTTCTGTCTCTTTACATCTATATCCGTGTCTGCATCTGTATCCGTATCTGTCGCCTTGCCTTGCCTAATTTTCTTTCTCTTTCTCTCTCATTCTATTCGCCTATCTGTTCTTCAAAAAGAAAGGAAACATGTTTATCGCCATTATTTATCACTGTCGGCGGTATCTCTTAATCCTTTACACTGTGACAAACTTGTGTAAAATTACCAGGTGTCGGGAGAATTGGTTAATTTCTTTTCTTTTTATTTTTTTTTTATGGTGGTTGATGCGGTTGGGGTGATTTAATTTTTTATATTTAGGGGTGGTGGATGGCTAGAGGGGGGTAGTGGGAAGGGAAATGCAAAGGTTGTGTATTGGTTTTACGGTGTAAGTGGGAGAAGGTGGTGAATTTATGCGTCGCGTCTCTTTGCGAGACCGAGGTGTCGTTGCGGAGGAGTATTGAAGCGTAATTTTACCAAACGTGTACCAAGTCAAAAAGGAAAACGTTATTTTGCAGGAAGAGTGAAAGACGGTCCAGCAGCGAGGATCAAAGGTATTTTTCAATATTTTTATTCTCTCCTATCGCCGGGATCTCTGTTGTGTACTTGTCGTCGGTGTCAGGGACGTACGTTATGTGTACATTTGGAAGAAAAACTCATCGAACCAAAGAAATATTCTGCTAATTTAAAGAATATTTAGTTGACTCAAATAAATTGTCACAATTCCAAAGAAATTATGCATTCAATTTATTCGAGTTTATTTGAGTTGAATGAGTTCATTCGTTGAATTAATAAAATATTTCTTTGCTTCAATGATATTTTTTTCCCAGTGTCGGTAATCCTGGAATCGAGCGAAATTGGGATTCAAGCTGGACGCACTGCTTTTAAGGTTATGTGAAAGGATCATTCTCTATATATAAAGCACTTTCATAACACCTTAACAGTTTTTATTTAGGAAGCCATTTTGTTTCCGTGAAGTCAAACTCGTCCCTATTGTTCTTCTTCTTCTACTTACGTGTCCATCAACTTTCTCAACGCTCCCCTTGAGCTTTTGGAGAAATTAGGCTTCAATAATCGCGGGGAACTCGTTGATCGCGAAGAGACATCTCAGTAATTTTACACAGGCTTCTTATACAGTGTAAAGAAACGGGTCTCTAGTCTTGAACGTCCCGCGTAAAACGCGCCAGAGCTGCGCGCCGATAAACGGGATAATGTAATTGAGAAATGCATTGAATGCCTCACATTATTATGTAATACACGGTGATACTTCCTCACGTGCGTATCCGATTCGGTGGCATAACCTCGTGGCCGAGAAATCAGCTTTCGATCGGTCCTCTTCGCGACATCGCACGTCACGTGATCGGGTGGCCATCTTGTTTTTCCGCAGACCCGACTCAAGATTAAGAAAATTGATTTCTCCCCGAGATTCCACTCGATCTAACAGAATTTCGATCGGATACCTACGCGTGAAAGCATCGAACCTTTTTAATCACAAGAATCAGCTATAAATGGAAAATTAGTAAAGCCCGCCTGGTGTAAAGGTCAGTCCGAAAGTCTCCCTAGCGTATTTCCACTTTCCACGAGAAATGCGACCAGTCGAACCGTTTCAACACCCGCGTCGATTTTATCGCAATATTGAACAGCCCTGGTTCAATGACATTTATTTATTTTCTCAGTGTACCTAGATATCGAGCGCGAATATTTGTCGTTGAATATTCGACTCGTCGCATCGGTAATTTCAACCGACGACCGTTACGGCGGGAGATTCAAACGGCTAATCGAGTTTGATTTTTCCAGGTGCTGGTCGAGGTCGAGGGGGTCCCCCCCCACCGCCGGGCATGGGGATGGGCCTGGGGGGCGGGCCAATGATCGGCCGGGGGGGCGGCTTTGGACCCCGCGGTGGCCATCATGGCAGTTTCCTCGGAGGCGGCAGTGGGGGAGGTGGTGGCGGCCCGGGAGCTATGAGGATGGAGAAGATCCACCCGCACCGGTTCAACCCCATCGGCATGGGCGGCGGATACGTGCAGCCTCACTTCTGGTGACCGGACTCCCCGCGTCCAAGGGCTCGGCGCCCCTACGACCGCTGACTCGGCGACGCGCCGCCCATGGGGCGACGCCGGCCTCCGGGAGCGTCCCGAGTAGCGCCCCCGCGTCGCCCTGTCGTCGTTCGGTTCGTTTCCGTTCGTTCCTTCGTTCGTGCGTTTCGGTCCCCGTTTCTTCCCCTCCCTTTGCTGCGCGGTCACGCGGAGGTTGCCTTTTAAGGAGGGGGCTCGTAGGTTAACGGTTGCCGGATTTCGAGAGTTAGTTTGGTAGTGGATCCGCGCCGAGCGTGCGCGCGCACGCCCGCCGATCACGTGACCGGTCACGCCGCCATCTTGCTTTTTTTCAACCGTCGACGAAGAAGGGAAATCGCTTCCTAAGGAAATTCCTGTTACCACGCGTCACTTTAGGCACGCTAGTTCGGATATTAGGTAATGAAGGTTATGAATTGTAAAATTATTGGTGGCGGTATGTCTCCCGTCGCGTGTTCTGCGTTTAAATTGCTGTAAGATATTGTATCGTCGAATTGTACCGATCCTTTGATCGATCGCGGATCCCTGTATTTCGGGCGTGCATGCGTATGGAATTTCGGACAGATCTCTGCACCGACTTTGACAAAACGAGAGAGAAAGAGAGTTAGAGGCGAGAAACCACGGCAGTGTAAAGTCACGGCGCAGGAGTCTTAGAATTCTTGTATAAACTATGGCGTCGGTTTACCGGACCGCAGGTTGGCGTAATAGAGGGAGACTTTCTTTTTCATTTTTTTTTCTCTTCTCTTCGTATAGTTAACGCAGTAGAGGCCGCGACAAGGTTTACGGTTGAGATCGTTGCGCCTCGGTTTTTAATTATTAGGCGGGATTTTTCAAGTTCTCTCTCTCGAGAGAGTTCGCGCACTTTGCCGACCCCAGGTCGATTTCGCATCTCGCGGCTCTTCTCATGTATTAAGCAGATATTTGTATTAACACAATCAATTGGTTAACGTCGAAATCCCTCGACTTACTGGCGATATTCGGGACTATCTCGCCGGGGCGAAATAGTCCCTGGAAAAATGGCTCGGGCTTCTCAGGAAATTCCGTCGCCCGTGTTTCGCTTCGCGGAGGTCAGCGGGTCCGCGTGTTGTACATTTTCTTTTTTAAACCGATAACGTTTAATCCACGGTATACATGTGTGTATCTGTAGGGCTGTTTTATTGAGGGGGACGTTGGGAATGGCACTGGAGAGACAGTGAGCCAGTAATAAATGATTATACGAACTCGTGTGCATCGGATGCATCATGCGTGCACACGAGATGCAATCCGCGAAACGCATGCAACGTCGACCCGATCAGGACCCGAGAATAATGACGATCCTAGAACAATTGTCACGATTTATATACGTATGTAATTATCGGAAATTAGTGGGCAAACATCCGTCGACCTGCGACACGACTAGGATATCTCCGATCCGGTGGCGAGAGTCTCCTTGCCGGAATCTATGGAAGTAACCGCGATATGTCCGGAGAGAACGTCTTTGTTAATCTACAAGCACTCCAAAATGCGAACCTATTGTCTGGCAGGGGGCGAAAACATATTAAGATCAGGTTGCACATTAAAAACGCATTAATTCAGCGCGTAGCATATGCTTCAAGAAACATTTGATGCACCTATATTCCGGGAGATTCCCTTTATGTAGATCTATGTACACGCAGCAAGTGTTTGTTGCATTAAGGGGGTGTGAAAGTGGCGTAGAAGAGGTGTCGTTTATGAAACTTCTCCGAACTGGGTGTACCGTAATTCGCATTGTAACCAAACTTTACAATGCGAATATGGAGGCTGTAAAGTAGATCCTAACCCATGAAATTACAATTTTTTAAAATTGTTTATAGACATTTAAAAAATTTTTTATATAGAATCAAACTTCTTGGGTGTCGGAACCTTCCTTATAGCCTCTGTATTCACGATGTAAAGTTTGAAATAACTCGGTACATCCAGTTCGGAGATAAGTTTCATCAACGAGACCTTCGACGTCACTTGCACATCCCTTTAAGGTGGTATTAAAGTGGCCTCTGAGGGGTAATTTTACCACCCGATTATGGCGGCCCCGAAAAAGGTCCTGACACCCGTGAAATTTCATTTTTTATACAAGAGTAATGTTTACAAAATGTTTATAAACAAATTGAAGAAAGTTATGAAGTCTCGTGGGTGTCGGGACCCACGAAGTTTTAGGAGGCGACACGTTTGCCGCGTCGTTGGTGTGCAACCTGATTAAAGGTACATCTTGCGTTCTTCAAGGTCTGTAGCGGTTCCTTGCGTCGATGTTCGATTTTTGTAGAGGATGTTCGCGAGTACCGATGCCACGCCCGATGCGCAATGAGACTGAATTTTTATAGAAGACAAATTTTAAGCGATCGTTGAGTATGTAAACGTGTACGGGCGCCGCGTTGAGCATCGTCCCCTTAGGGGAATTTATCGAGGATTTTTGGAGCACCTCTCGAGGAAGAAAAGGGAGATCGTTGGCCTAGGTCGTGGTCGGCTCGAGCCGCAGCTGGTTCTCGCGGATTTGTTGTATCGTTCGGAACAGGTGCTCGATGTTCGCACCGAAATCGGGTTTTCAGTGAACTCGATGCGGTATCGCGAATTGCATGTGGTTCGATTAGGGGAAATCAATAGTAAATTGCCACACTATGTGCGGTCTGCTCGCATTCTGAACAAATTGAAACGTTTTTGGCTCCTAGAGACTGACGCCCTGCGCATTTGTGTGCCCTTTTATGGATTTCTGCGACTATTAAAGAGATCCGAAAGTGGCATCCGAGGAGTCAATCCTGACATTTCTCCAAACTACATGTACCGAATCGTCTCAAACTTTACAACGTGAATGTCAAAACTATAACGAAGGTCCTTACACCCAGAAAATTTCATTTTTTTTTAATACAAAATTTTAAAAATCGCTATAAACAAATTTTACGAAACATTGAGATTTCATGGGTATCGGGACCTTTCCTTTAGCCTTCGTATTCACGTTGTAAAGTTTTTGAAACGATTCGGTACACAAGGTTTGGAGAAATGCTGATATACAGATGACTTCTTGGACGCCACTTTCACATCGCCTTAATTCTATGCACTGGAAAGGTCTTATTCAAATGACAGTAGGTATGTTGTGTGCACTAAGATGCTTCGTTTCGCGCCGTTGGAAAGTTCAGCGCGAAGAGGTTTCCAGCGGCGCCGGAAACGGTTATTGTTTATTGTTAAGCGAATTTTTGCGAGGACCCGTGACCGACTCGAGCCTCGATCAGGAGTTTCGGAACGTTGTTCCCATCTTGTCGGGCATTTACGTCGTCGTCTCCCGTGTGCTGGAGATGGCTTCGAATAAGAGGCACGTCCGCAAGACTCGTTCCTCCGCGTGCGGATCGAAACGGCGAATGGAGGTCGACGGAGCGAATGAGAAATTCCATTGCGACCGGCGGTGATTGACATCGTCGGAGCGCTTGTACCAAAAATGTTAATAAAATTCACGTCCTTTGGGCAACGCCACGCGCGTCTCTCCGTTGACACCCGGCGAACCTCCGAATTCAATCTGAAAAAGTCACAATCTTGGAGATTTACACCGAGGTAAAAAAAAAAATGGCAAAGAAAATTTTCCTATTCACCCTCGTACGAGTAACAGTGAGATATTACTCGAGGTGCAATTTGTTACCTTTCTTCACTCGGTTTTCAGTTACATTAACAGCGTGATGGAAGGCCTCCGGTAATGGGTAAAAATGTGGGAAACACTTCGCCTCTCCTTAACTGGATCTGGATGCCCGCCGGTTACGGAATCGCCCTTCAGGGGGCAGCTCGCATTTCGAAATACAGCAAAGTGCCCGATGATGAGCTGCACCGTAACCAGCTGTAAAGTGTCCTCAGGGTGTAGTTTAAATCCTTGCGGTAAGATCAGCCTCCTAGTCCACCCTACAAAATCCCCCAGTAATCAGAGAATTTATCCACGAGGTCCATTAATATTTTTACAACGCGCGAATAATTATCCTTGTTCTTGCAGGTACTTGAAATGCACTTTATGTAGATCCGGAACTCGTCACGTTTTTACTGCACGAGAAGTGATATTATACCGGTCTGAGAGATGTCGTCTTCGGCGAGAGGTGGACGACTGTCGACGCAACGAGGGTACGCGATGCTGCTTGCTCGAGGCTGCACGAAAGTCTGCATTTTCGGAGGATAAGGAGAAATTTTATAGAAGCAAGCCACGCTCCACCCACAGGAAGCTGCGCGGTCCGAGATTAACCGCGAACCGTTTGAGGAAACAGGAAGGGGCGGCTGACAACGACCACTGCACTGCCTACGACAGGGAAATCACGCTAACCGAGATACTCCCTGGCAATGCACTGTCGCGATACTGGACTCGAAACGCTCTTTCCTGTTTTGCTGACTAGATGAAAAGGGCCCTGTGACAGGCTGTCTTCCTATCCTGCCCATTTTTTCAAGTCCCTTCCGGCGCTGCACGATAAGCCTACCGTGGGTGTCCTGGCGGGAGATCTATGAATTTAATATGAAGATTTTAATATCAAGAATATTTCGTTCGTAGTAGTGACTAGAAGTCGAGAATTCGGAGAACTGTGATAGGCTGTTTTCCTTTCCTGTCCATTTTTCCAAGTCCCTTCCGGCGCTGCACGATAAGCATACCGTGGGCGTCCTGTCGGAATACCTACGGATTTAATGTTTTCATTTTAATATGAAGATTTCAATTTCAAGAATATTTTATTCGTAGTTGTGACTCAGAGTTAAGATTGGGGAAAAATGAGAGCGTGCTCAAATGATTCGCTTTAAACGCGAAGGTGGCTTTACTTCGATCTTCACCAGACGTTACGACCTCCGCCGTGTCCCCGCGACGAGAGGTTTCGTCTCTCTTGACATACTTGCAAAAAATCTCCGAGATTTCCGAGTCACCTGCGCACCAGGTCGCATCCCTTGACCCGGAGTGGCGAAGTGGCCTCTCAGCTCCCTAGATCCACTTAAATCCAATTAAAATGTTATTAGAATGTTTCATTCGAGGATAACTGGCGATTGGAAAGAAAGATATATCTACAAAAATCGAACTTGTCTTGAAAGATCGTTATGCCACGTTTGTTCAGCTTGGAGATTTAGTTCTAAACTTTCGGGATAAGCGGAATGAAGCTTTAAGCGTCGCGTAAAAATGTAAACTAGGTTTTTCCTGACGCTTTCAAATTATCGAACTTTCCCGCGAATGCCTTTTAAGAGATCTCGAATGGGGCGACCGACAGTCTCCTGATTTCTGGCTCACAAAGCCGCGAGGATAAGGATTCTATTTATTCATTTTTCCCCGGCATCCGACAGCCCTGGATAACGGCGATAACCCTATCTCTCGGACGAAGAGAGTCATTGGCCACGCCGGCACTTTTCATCTCTCCGTTCGGTTTCCTCGGTAGAAAATCTCTTCTCCAGGTTTGGACATACCTGTAAGATATCTGCAATTTCGTGTACCAGATATTAACTGCTACTTTATGAAGACCTGAATTAGGAGCTCAGTTTATGTGCATGAAAAAGTTCAAGCTCCGTTTACAAGCCATACATCGATATCTATCCTTTATAAATAATTTTTGGGTCGATTAAACGTGACGACGAGAGAATTTCAAATCACCCGCGCGACTGTTGGTCGAGTCACGTGACCGTTTTATCGAATTGACCAACAGAGTCAAACCCAAGATGGCGCAGTTTCCCGCGGCCCCTGATAGATGGTAGCATCCGTAAATTCCTGCCCATCATCGCGAGAACGATTTCAAAATTCGTTTCAAGCAGTGATATAAATATTTATCGACCTTCAGAGTGTCAACAATTCCTGGGAATTATATGGATACGTTAGAAATTACTGGAATCTAGTCGAAGCGACTCGACAGTGCGAGGCTACGTTGAATCGATAGAAATAGCTAAGAGTATCGATAGAACGCTATTATCGTTCAAACATACTTACGGATAATCGATCGAGCACCGAAGTCATTGTCAGAATGGACTGCCGATCAAAGCTCGAACGTTTGCGACCACGCGGAAGAATCGGTTAGGTCGACATGTTATTCTTGAGTTTACTTTTTCATCTCGACATCGCGATGCCCTTTACGCGATAAATTCTTCAAAATCTGAAAACACCCCGCACCGCGATCAAGGAAATAGAGTTTTACACTGTTTTTCGCGTATTACCGTCGTGTTTTGCGATTTTTCCCGACATTTTGTATACATTTTTAGAGAGAAGACGTCGGAAGAGGAACCGGAACCGACGCTAGGCAAGATGGCGGATTGAGATCCCGTCGTCACAATTCCAGAATTCTCGCCGATGAAGGAATTTTATTAGTACGCGGGTACTGGAAAACACCGCCGAACCACGGCTCGACGTGGAACGACGTCCGGAATGAAACTGAATCGCATCCATGAAAGAAGGGTCGCCGAGGAGGGAAGGGAAGCCAAACGGTCCGCACGCGGTGCCCCGCTTCTCCCGTTGCACGCGTTTCGCCGTCCGACTCTGGGCCCCTCGTTCGTCTCTCTCGCACCCGCGGGTCGCGGCCTAGCGCGGTCTCGCTCCCACTCACACGGCGGCCCAGGAAACTCGCACATGGACGCGCGGCGGGACTCCGGATCGGAAACCCTCCTCGATGTCCCGTGCTTTCCGTTCGATCGTTGCTGCTCGTTTCGAGATCGACATAACTATTGATAATATTTGTTATTAATTAACGTAGCCACGGGCAACCTCCAAATTGTGGCAATCTAATCTGCGCAGTTAACCTCCCTACCGTCTACGGGCCCAATTAAAAGCCGAGCCGATTTTCCATTTTCTCTTTTACTTCTTTGCAATTCTTTGAATTACATAAATATTAATCATATAAACAAATGTACCGTGGTATTACGTTTGTATTTTATTATCACGGGTCTATGTGAACTCGACGGCAGTAAACTAGGTGGAAATTGAAGAAGGATAAACCCATATTTTTTCTCCAAAAATTAAATTTCGCGAGTTTCAAGACCTTCATTGGGATCTCAATAATCACGGGTTAAAGTTTCAAATTATTCACCGCGTCCCGTTTGGAGAACAGTTTTATAAATATTTTGCACTTTGCACTGTTACACTTTAAATAGAGGTCTTTCATAACATCCACCTCCAGGTTTATTGAAGCGATTTATTGTTACGAGTGTAACCACCTTTAGATAATCCCCGCGCCCGAAGGTGCTTCAATAATTGTTACCGTATCTAGTTTCTCCGATATTGTGCGAGCACGTATAAATACCGATTATTGTATTTACAGGTACCGCATTGTGCCGGCCAGAGCACGTGATTGTTTCCTGACTCGGCGGCTTCGAGAAGAGGACAACACTGGGCGAGAAAAACCTCGGAGCCGGCTTTTCTCGGGATTACCATAGGGGCCCGGGTAACCGTAGGGGTCAGAGAGCAGTGTCCCGGGCCAGTCGTCGAATTTGCATTCCTTGTTCACGATGAATAATGCTAAGCGAAAGACGCTTCGCGCCGCAGACGAGCGGGACTCTCCTCAGACGTGGAGAGTCGCACCGAGAAGGCTAATTATGGGTGTACACTGATTTGGAAATCAGTGAAAACGATTTCCTTCTTTGAGAACCGATTGCCTTTGATTTCATATCATAAACAATGCGATTCGGTAACAAGTGACGTTCGGCCTTAAAATTGTAATGATGTTTCAATAATTTACAATGATTCGTTCTGATTTCTAGTTGCGGTTTCCTGATTTCCACGTGAGTTCGAGGCATAAAAGCCACGATTTTTCTTATTAAGAAACTTGTATCCTTGCCCTGCAGACGTGACGAAGGTAGGGTAAGAAACGACGCATTCATGCCCTTCGCTGTATACGTTTGATTATCTTATTCCTATTTACGTTACCTTTCAGGAACAGGGCGGTAAAAAAAACCAAGCGAGAGATTCCGCGCGAACGAGATGCGGAGTCAGCGTGTCTTGATGACGAAGAGGTCAAGTTCGTAATTTCCGAGGTGCAGAAGTACTCGCCGAGCGACGAGTCGCAACAGGAGGCAACGGCGGTACACCTCTACGAATAAGGGGCCGATTATGAGAACAGCTGTCGGCCTGCTTGCGAGAGAACACCAGTCGGTGACTCGCGTTTCTGTGTACGCACTAAGGACTCCCTGCGTAGCAATAAGTATCCTGACTCAACTTTCGAGAATCCGTTGCCTCGGATTCCGAGATGTGTCTAACCCAACGGCGCTACCTAATCTAGATAATTATCTGAATCATTTCTAATTGGTAAAAGTTGTCGCATTATCATTTCTTCCTCCGAAATGACCAGTCTCCGAGCTGTGTCCGAGCTGTCTCCGACCAGATTCCGAGATGTGTCTAACCCAACGGCGCTACCTAATCTAGATAATTATCTGAATCATTTCTAATTGGTAAAAGTTGTCGCATTATCATTTCTTCCTCCGAAATGACCAGTGGGACCGACACGGAAATGATTTAACACTCTGAAGGAATTTTTCTGTATTTGTAATATTTAGAAGGTGGGGTGTAATTGATATACTATTTATTGTAATATCATATTTGTAATCGATGTATTATTTTTCAGTGCTCCTTCAGTCTGCCGGTTGTATTGGACTTTTGACGGTTCGATGGTGGCCCTTCAGGTACGAACACGTGCGTCCCACGTTGTACACAAAGGAAACCTTGGGCTGAATTCGATGCTTAAGGGCCGTGCACACGTTTTCTCTTCCAGGCTTAGTCCGGGGGTCGCAGAGGCCTCGAGAAACGCTTCACCCCAGCGCTCCAGCTTTCAATCTGGCGGCCAATTCTAAGGAATTCTGTTGACTTTTCAATGGAAGCACTAATGCCGAAGGTATGCGCGTCGCTGCTCGACTGCCTTGTTCGCCCTCGTACGCGTTAACGTCGAGTAAAAATTGCCATTTAACGTCCGTTCGCAGAAACACCGCAACAGGGAAGGAGAGGGATCATTCATTCGGACGTTAAAGGAAATCTCTCTTGATTCGACCTTGGTCGAGTAAGCACTCCAGATACGCGAAACGCGTGGTATCAGGGACGTGGATGGAGTTTTGCATCGAACGTCGGCATCGAGGCATATAACGACGTCGGGAAGAAATGATTTAAAAAGCGGATTCTGAACTCGCTCAAAAGCGAGAGTTATTTCTGCTTTCGAGCGGACTAGGAAAGAAACTTGCAGAAGGCGGGGCATCCTCGAGTGTGAGGAAAAAAACGGCGGTGGAGCATCTGGGGCCTCGGAAGGGCCAGCTCGGGGTCCCTGGAGGTCACAAAAAGTGTTTATACACCCTGGGTGCGTGGGAGCATCTTTTTTTTTCCGACGATCTCCCCGCCGAGATACCGTCCAGAGATCTTGAGATTTTTCGCAGTGATACTCGGAAACTTTTCAATTCACCCCAGCTCATCGCCTTGGCATGTCTCTTAACTATCTCCAATTCAACGAATCGTTAATTTTTCAAAATGAATTTGGAACTTTAACACGTGATTATAGAGGTCTTAAAACTCATGAAATTTCATGAGTTTCGAGACCTCCCAATGCAAATTATTTGGTGCACCAAGTTTGGAGAAAAGTTTTATAAATATTTTCACGTTTTGATATGTATAGAATGACTTATATCAATTCTAGGTGCATCTGAAGCTTGAATAACCACGCTAGTTGAGCGTGGCGCCATCTACGCGCGACTCCCCCAAACTCGTAGCGGTAAATCGATGAAGCTTACCGACAAACTTTTCAGCGCGAACTTGAGCGAATGTTTGAAACGACGATGGGTAAGTAACTAAAAATGATGTAAAAGAACGAGTAGATATTTACAAGAATGTGTATATATTTATTGATAAATAATACGTAGAAAAATTTATAATCGCTGGATCTCTGTCGTAGATAGAGAGGAATAAGTGGTCCCGGACCGAAGCGAAGCCAGCCAGAACGGGGCCAGTTTATGTCGTCTTCTGAGGTCTTTTTCCGAGCAACGAGTTAAGTAGAAACTTAGAACCTGTAAAGTTCTCGCATTTGCCGATATTTAGTACTCGATGGTAACCGTTTTCGTTTTTAGGTACTCATTAAGCGCTTCCTGCCCCAGGTCTTTGCCGAAGCCGGACCTTTTGAACCCTCCGAATGGAGCTGCGACGTCAGTTTTATTGTACGTGTTGACGAAGACGGTTCCCGCCTCTATTTTCTCGGCGAATCTCAGAGCTCTTCCGATGTCCTTGGTCAGCACTCCAGAGGCCAATCCATATTCCGTGTCATTCGCCCTGGCGATCACTTGGTCCATGTCCGAGGAGCTGAATTTGGAGATGACCATGATGGGCCCGAAGGACTCCTCCTTCGCGATGAACATTTGGTCCTGGACATTTGTGAATATCGCCGGCTCGAAGTACCATCCTGGCCTGTCGACTCGTCGACCTCCGTATTCAAGTTTGGCACCGTCCTCGACTCCGCGCTTAACGAACTCCAGGAGCTTCTCCAGATGCGCTTTATGATTCTGGGGCCCGTGAGCCGTACTCCTGTCCAGGGGATCTCCAACCGATATCTTCTTCGTCTCCGTTATCACTCTCCTGACGAATTCATCGTGGATACCTTCCTCCACGAAGAGCCGACCTGGAAGTGAAAGAAGAAGGTGAATATCTTTCCCTCACCTATCCGTAATGTTCTCATTATTCGTAGAAATTTATAATTTGATCGATACCAGCGGCGATGCAGTTTTCTCCCTTGTTGAAGAAGACGCTTCCCATGGCGATCCTGATCGCCTGTTGCAGGTCCGCGTCTTCGAATATGACCAGAGGACTTTTGCCTCCCAATTCTAAGGACACTTTTTTCAGGTTGCTGTCGGCGCAGGACCTCATGATCAGCTGGCCGACTTCGGTGGACCCGGTGAAGCCCAATTTTCGTACCGAAGGATGAGATACCAACGCGTTCCCTGTTCCGGACCCGGTCCCAGGGATCACGTTGATGACCCCGCGTGGGATTCCTGCCAGCACCGAAAGCTCCGCGAATTTCAAGGCCGTTAGAGGAGAAACTTGGGCAGGTTTTATCACTACTGTGTTCCCTGCTGCCAGGCAGGCCGCCATCTTCCAGGAGAGCATCATCAGCGGATAATTCCAGGGTGTTACCAGACCGCAAACACCGATTGGCTCCTTACGGGTGAACGTTAGGTTGCGATTCGGCCTTGCATGAGATATCGGGATGGTAGACCCTTGGATCTTATCGCACCAGCCTGCAAAGTACCTCCAGGTCTCGATAGACATCCCTATGTGCGTCTTCAAGGCCAAGGTGTACACAGCCCCAGAGTCTATGCTCTCGATCGTCGCCAACTCCTCCTTGTGGAGCTCCATCAGGTCGGCCAATCTAGATAAAAAATATTTCATAAGCTTTGACAAACCTCAAGATTATATGAAATGGTCGTTCCATAAATATAAAATGTCAAAATATTCATAAAACTTCTCCAAACTGGGATTCATATTTATTTTACAAATGTTGAAACGATTCGGTGCACCCAGTTTGGAGGAAGGTTTTATAAACATTTTGAATTTTTGGTATTATTGGTTATATATGATAACACCTTAAGGTATCATTCTACCTATCATTTTCATTTAAACATATCCGTTTTTATTTTGGATATGTTTCGTACCTTGCACATTGCACGTTTTACAGAGTAGTATCACAAACTACTCCGATTTGACAATCGGTACTTCTACCGTAGAGCAGACGTCTCGCGAGGGACAATTTTCAACCGTGCATTGTACAAGGTGCGAGTACAATAGGCTCGTTTTGTCTCTGTACAGAGTTCTCCGGAGTTCCGGGGAGTGTGGCGAGGTGTGAAGCTACGTACTTGAAGAGCAAAGCTCCTCGTTCTCTGGCGCTGATCTTGCTCCACTCTCCCTGCTCGAAGGCGATTTTCGCGGCCCGGACGGCCTTATCGACGTCCTCGACGGAAGCGCTTTCGACCGAGCAGATGATGCTCTCGTCGTGGGGATTGATCGAGTCGATGGGCTTCGCCGTGCCGTTTACGAACTCCCCGTCGATGAAGAGCTGCCTGGGGAACTTGAGGTCCAGATTATTCACGTGGATCTCCACTGCTTCGTACGTCACCTCGGTCGCCGCTTTGGCACCTCGAGCTGCCAACACTACCGAGTTCACGAACTCCAGGAACACCGGAGCCATGAAGACGTCCGTGTTCTGCAAGCTAACTCCGATATTGTCCTTAACTTCCTCGACGAGGCGCACGACGTCCATGCTGCCTGCACCTGAATCGCGATCAGAAATATTTAAGGTGTTATGTAAGTGCTAATATGAAATAATTAAGATATTTATACAACTTATCCTCGAACTGAGCGCAGAAAAAAGAAACATTACTTTTTGATTCTTGTCAACATTTTTTTGTTTGAAAAACTAAATTTCGCGAGTTTCAAGACCTTCATTAGGATCTCCATAATCACGTGTTAAAGTTTCAAATTATTCGGTGCATCCAGTTTGGAGAAAAGCTTTATAAATATTTTGATCTTTTGATAAATATATAATGATCCTCTCATAACACCTTAAAAATTGTAGGAAAAGAAAACTAAATACCAGCGAGGCATCAATAGACAGCAAATATTATACTTGCCAGAAGCGAAGAAGTCGGTATCGTCGTCAACGTCCTCCACCTTGAGGATGCTGGACCAGATCCTGCGGATCGTCTCCCGGTGCTTGATCTCGTCTTCGCTGAATTCAAGGGTTTGAGTCCCATTTGTAGACTTCCCGTACATGCTCGCTCGTATCGTCCTGTTCCCTACTTTCAATGTTTCGATGTTCACTAGGTTATCATCGGCTGCGACGACGACGAGTCCTGATTCGTGGACCACACCTGGTCGTCCGTCCACATCGACCTGGTCACCTCCTGGCAAAGGAGTGGTCCAAATTTTCGAGCCATACAGCCGCACTTCTTCTCCGTTAAGAAGAGTCCAAGCACCTGGTGTGCTGTCCAGAGCTCTGACGAAGTTGTGGACTTCTTGAGCCGATTTGTTCCAGTCTACGCGCTGGATTTCCTTCTTGTTGACCATGGGGTCGTACGTGGCACCATCCTTTGGCTGGGGGATCTTCGGGGCCGTTCCCTGCGCCACGAGATTTACGGCCTCGCCGATGGCTTTGATCCCTTCTGGATACAGGAATCTGTTGTAAAGGCTGTCCAAGGTGTCGTTCGGCTCCACTGGGCAGGATCTCTGCAGCAATATCGGACCTGTATCCAGCCCGTCGTCCGCCCAGAAGACGGAGAACCCTGCGGTCTTGTCGCCTTGGATCAATGTCCTGAAACAGGCGCCGTTAGAAGACGTTAAACCCTCGAGACACTTCTGGAACGCCAAAGTGTCGCGTATTAACTAGGGAAGGAAAGAATCTGTTTGGAAAGTAGATTTTATCAAAATTAATGGAACCTTCAATCGACGGAAATTGACGAGTCGTGTTTAATTCAGCTTTTTGGGATTCCAGAGAGCGGATTGCCTCAGAACCGGAAGAAAGAAAGTCTACCGGCTTGGCTTATGGAGCGTGAAAGAAAACCGACTTTAACCAGTTAAAAGGCCCCAGGCGACCCATACTCGCGCAATGTCGTTTGGCGTTTTACGATAACTTAACAGCCGAGCTCACGGGCAGCAGGGCAACCGTTACACACACTTGCGTTTCACTTCGTCCACTTATCCATCGTTTCTTGAATTCTATCAAGCTAAGAAAATTGAAAATACGTAGTAGGTAATTTTAAAAAGAATTATTTTCAATTGAAGGCATTTTTATGGTTTATTTGGAAATATTTATTGTATGGTTTATTTTTATCTCATCTGGTTTCAGGAATGGGATCGAGAATGGACTTACCAACTTATGGCGCTGGCTCCGCGATGCTTAGGCAGAAGGGAAGGATGATAACATATGCTTCCATGGCGAGGTCGGTCGATCACTTCCATGGGGATAAATTGCGTGCAAAAAGGGAGAATATTGAGGTCGACTGCGATTCCATTGTAGAGATCGAGGACCTCTTGCAGGGCAACTCCTTTACTTCTCCAAGCCTTGATCTTGAAGACAGGTGTACCGTCGATCTTTGCCGTTGTAGCTGCAATCGATGCAACTCAATGATAATTTTCTTTTTAACGACTTACAGGAGTTAAGAGGATGTGAAAGAGGCATCTGAGGGGTCAGTCGAAGAAAAGTTTCATAAACGAGACCTCTTTGACGCCACTTTCACATCACCTTCACATAATTTAATTAAGGAGTGCGTTCATTTTTACTCACCCAGAGGATCTTCCCGATCCCCTTTGTCAGGAATTGTAAATACTCCGGTGATTCGATGTCCCTCTTGTCGCAGCAGCTTGTAAACTTCTGCTGCGAAGTTGCTCTGGCCGATTATGGCAACTTTTAACTGGGCCATCACCGCCTAGATATGTACAATGGTGTATTTAATGCAACGGTAATTCAATGCTGCATGAATCGATGAGTCGAGTAATTAATACTTCACGCCGAATACTGGATTAATTGCGCATGCGGTAATTAGGGATTTGGTCAGTTTCATTTATTTTTGCATTTTCATCACACGAAGTGCAGGCTCGCAGGGGAACAATGGTTAGCCCGTACAATTTATATTAGCAGCATGAAAAAGGATTTATTGATTGGGGTCGTTTAAGCGGATTAACGTGCAAGGTAAAGGAGCGATTTTTCTGTGACGCAAGCGCTCTTGCTGTAGCTGTAACAAATACGTACCTAATTAGAACTAAAGGAGAAGCTACCGAAAACCTCCAAAAGACCTTAAAGAAGCTGTAAAAGAATGTCGAACACTCGAATAAGTGAAAACAGTCAGTCGATGTCGTTTCAACGGAGGCTACTCGTCTGTGGAACAACAGTGTTGCACAGTAAGCAGTTAAATTCTAAAGGATTCTACTATTACTCCACGTATTAGTAGTATTCACCACATACAACCCCGGAAAGTAACATTAACGTTCCGATAATTCAAACTCTTCCCCCTTTTCTTTCTGTTTCTAATAGCTTAACAGGGAAAAATATTTCCAACGTTATATCGTAAAATTAATTTTACAGGTGAGAAGTTTTGGACGGCTGGGAAATATTCAATCGATGTAAGAAGAGGACTTACGGAGGCGACTGCAAAGCTACGTTTGGTAAAACGATAGCCCAGACTCTTAGGTATCAGCATCTGATGCGGTTTGCACTTTCACTATCAGAACTAACGAAGGATCGAGTCTGCGGTCTTCTGGATAGATGCAAGGAGAGCAGCCAACGACTAGCCAAGGAAATCTAGGAAACCGGTCGGCTGGCTGCACTTGCGAGAGGCAGGAGAAGTAATTGGTGACCGGGGCCAAGATGCAGTCTGGTAACCGGCTCGGCGATTTCCTCTCTTCAGCACTCCAACAAAGTTGACTCGAGTTGACTGAACCACCAGAGAAGGAGCTCGCCTTATATATAACCGACTACTATCTGCGACCATTGGGTCAGGACCTTTAGCTTCATATTAACGCGCGATTCTCCATTAATGCGTATAAAATTAATGCATTTAACGCGGTGCACTTGCACTACAAGTAACACTATGACCTCACCATGCCCATTGTCAGAATAGAGCACCCGAAAATGCTTCAATTTCCAAAGAACTCATTTTTTTTAAGTACAGAAGATCAATGAATTAGCGTTCAATCGCGTTATACCCTGAGAAAAAAGATTGAAACAAATATATATATATATATATATGTTGTTGCCTGAATCATATACAATTGCAAGTAACAATTATTTTGTCGAGAAGAAAAATAGATATTGTTAATTTAAACGAATTTTGTTTACTCAGTCTGACATTCATTTGGATGTATTTGATCGCAGGATTTTGTTATCGCAATGCATATTTCTTTGGGTCAAGCGATTTGTGTTAATAATTTGAACGGCACTCTGATCCAATACTGTTATGTAAACATTATGCGTGCTTCGCAGAAATTCTTTGAAAAATTCAGTGCCCCGGCGTTTCGGATTTAGACATCGCCTGGACTGGTGTACACCGGTTTCGAGGAGACTTATCATCAATGATGGGGTCGAAGATTATCTACATGTTGTTTACTCGAAACCATAGAACCAGATCTCGTCAGTTTGAGGGCGAACCTCGGGTCATATCTACATTAAGAGCAGGCAATGACAGTACGCCGCGATACCGATTTGCGTAAGCTGGATGTACTTGCACATTTTTATTCTTCTACGGGGAATTTTTTGGCACAATCGCTCAGTCATCTATCTTGGAATGGCGATGACGACGTCAAACGACTATACGATATAAATTATTTCGACTTAGTTGAGAACTGTTGCGTAAAACATTTCGTTTATCCGGTTGATACGTCCAATATACATATTTTATACGTTCCATGCAGAAGGAGAGTGTACCTGTTAACTTAGCCGAAACCAGGCTCAATAATAAAGGAAAGCCAGGACTTGTTGCTCGCAAGGAATTGATCCCTTGCCAGGAATAAAATGCTTTCGCCTCGTTTCCTGGTTACAAGGGGACTTTTTTCTGCGACTTTCTTTCCTCGCGTGATATCCCTGGATAAATCCGTCTCAAACCGGAGTCCTAATCAGCTCGAAGTCAGCAATTCGGTACTCTTTCCTCCTTCCTTTTTATTCCCAAGTTGAAAGGTCTTTAACCTAATTCGTCAGCGTGCTCTATATTAATTATTCTCTTCAGATAATCCGGACGGAATAAACAGACGATTTTTCCGCATCATGACGAAGTTATCTGGGAGTGTTTTCGTGAAATAAACACGACCTTGCCACGTGCATCGACGACAAGATTTGCTGCAACAATTTGACCGTTACAAAGTGCCATTTATCTCTTCCCGATTTTCTTCGCCGTTATCATCAGCAAATAGAGCTGGTAGAACGCATCGATACTACCGTATATTATTTCACTAGCGGTTTATTATTTTATTCTTGTAAGCGAAACAATGTAATTATAACTCGTCACTACGGCGATGTAGCGATGAGTTTCTTTGCGACTGCTTAATATTATTAACTGAGGGATCTAAGTTATTGTTCATTTAATTATAGCCAATTGTCTTTTATCTTGTAATAACTCTCCTTGGTTTTATCATTAGCACGAGGCGAAAAGGAAAGCAGGCTAGCGGGACGCTTCGGGAAGGCATCGATACGAGCAGCGACAGCGATTACGCTTTGCGTCGCCCCGCATAACAATGTTTAATCGGCCGAATCAACTCACTCGCCCGAGAAGGATTTCCGAGGTCCCTTGCATCGAGTGAACAGATTTTCAAGTCTAAGGACGGAGAAAGTACGCTTTTACCTAATTCGCTATATTTTGAGCATAACCGAAAACACTGCGTAGTTATCTTCTACGCGAATCCAAGAAAAACTTGGATTCAGGCAGATGAGATACTTCCGTATCATTCATTATATTTTTCATGAAGAATGGGAATTTGTCGACCGTAATTCTCAAGTTTCTGTCCACGTACATTCCGTGGATTTAATATTATCGCTGATGTGGGTTTAACGTGAGTTAACGTTACAGGAAAACCCGGACTCGAGGGATGACGAAGACGTCGCCAGCGTCATGGGCGAAGTCGGTACCCTGTAAGAATTTTATAAAAGATTTCTTGGAGGCCCACCCCTTGGAGGAGGACGAAGTGCGTCACGAGGACGTCGCAGCTTCGACCGGGAGCTCGACGCAGTCGACGTCCCGCGTCGTCGACGTCGGCGCGGGTCAGCCAGAGCGGCGTCGTCATGGCGACCCGAGACACATGCGCGAAGATGCGTCCCAGTCAATCCCTCTCGCGGCTCGACCTCGTCGAGGTCAACCATACCGAATCCGTGCCCTGGAGGCTCGACTTCGCGAAATTTCCTGAAACTCAGGCTCCGCCACGTAAGAGACGCTGAGTCGACCTGTCCTGGACCCTTCGCCCTGGCGAGATTAAAGGAGCTTCTTCGAGAAGAACCAGCCTCCGAGTACAGGAGATAAGAGAGAACGCCGTAACGGGGACATCCGAAGATCCTAAGAAGAACTTCTCGAAGACCCCAGAAGACGACGTCGCTGTCCACCGGGGGATTTAATTTTTAATTAGCCATCTTCTTTGGACCCTTCCGAGAGATGCAGTCCAGCCTCCTGCAGGTGTCACTGGGGCTTCTGATGCTCGTTCGCATCACGCTTCAGGTAAACCACCTGCCACCTGATCCAGGTCGTCGAGATTCGCCTGCGGTCCCTGATAAAGTAGGACTTTATTCGCAGATCTTTCTCTACTTGTGGAACGTGACAGTGAATTCCATCGCGAAACTAGTTCACCTTTGAGTACCGAGTACGCAGGACTCGCCGTGTCGATTGATATGTACACCTTTTTCTCTCATCGATTAATCGCTAAACGTATGCAGCTGGTTTGGAACTGCGACCTGAATGGAAGGGAGAATTCGATCGCGATTGGATGTTGAGAAAAATTTATTAGCTTTGACTGGTCGTTACACTCTTTCAGATTTCTGTTGGAATGCGCGGATTTCGGTACCGAGCATGGAATAACGTAGTGGCCAAATAAAATCGTTAAAAAATTTTAATCAGAACTTTTTCGCGGGAATATTTTCTTTCCTTTAGTAATTTAAAATCAGGACTTTACTCGTGAATATTTTATTCCATCAGAAATTTATAATCCAGTTTGACGCACCAGACTAAACATCGCAAATAATGACTAGGTCAGTGTTTCATGCCTATATATTTTTGGCGCAAAACTCTACCGCGTTTCCTAATCAGGATTTTACTCGTGAATATTTTATTCCTTTAGAAATTTGAGGTCATATTTTTACTCGTGAATATTTTATTCCTTCAGAAATTAAAAATCGGGATTTTACTTGTGAATCTTTTCTTCCTTTAGAAAATGTCCGTACCAGTTTGCGACATTCTTCCAGCAGGGAGATGGGAATATCCGTTTTACTCCCGATTCCCTCGGGAGCGCGTATCTCCCAACGAGTGTCCCGAATGAATAATTCGCGTGTTTCCGTGTTCTCCACTTTCTGTTCATCCTTTGGCAGGCATCCTCGGCGACCTCGTCGCATTACACAGGAGCCGTCGTCGAGTATTATCCGGTCCGTGGGCAGTTCAAAGAAACTGACTCGGGGACAAGGATCGCGAACGAAAATGCGAAGAACTTCGAGACCATCCTGAAGAAGGCGACCGAATACGTAAGACCGCTTGCAGTCGTCGTCCTCGTTAAAAGTACATGAAAAACTATGAACTAATTCCCTTTCTCTAACGTTATCCCCCAGGCGGTGGACATCATCGTGTTTCCGGAGAACTCCCTGCTAGCGGGATTCGTCTTCTCCTTTACCAACAGGAGTCACTATCCAGAGTTCTCGTCCTTCCTTCCCGACCCGAAGGACTCGGTGACTCCTTGTGAAAATTCCACGTCGAACGTCATGGAGGTAATGAAATATCGCAGATAATGACTAGGTCAGTGTTTCGCGCCTATATGTATGTATATTTGGTGATATCTCTTCTAGGCGGTGAAAACGATCTCGTGCGCCGCTAAGCGGTACTCCATCTACGTCGTGATGAACATCCCAGAGAAACAGAATTGCACGGGGATAGAGAATTGCCCATACGACGGGTACTTCTTCTACAATACCAACATCGCATTTAACAGACAGGGCGCCATAGTGGCTCGCTATAGGAAATACGACCTCTACGCGGAGCCAGGATTCGACAGACCGCCCAAGCCGGAGATTTCAACCTTCCTGACGGACTTCAACGTTACCTTCGGCCAGCTCTCCTGCCTCGACATCCTCTTCCAGGTAGTTTTCAAATTCTCCTCACTGGGGCAACACAAATACTATCGGTAGTTGCGACATTTTTTTCTAGCGACAAGTTGTATATTGCTCATTCGTTTGAGTAGGACCGAACAATATCTGTTGGCTGTAGCAAGAAATTCATTTGCTAATATAGCAAGCTTTTTCTAAGGAAAGCTCTCCAATAGTTACATTTACAATTTGATACATTTTTGGTGTTGGTGCGATTATTCTTGCAGTAAGAGCGGAACTTTGTGGGCAGTGCTGTTTGCTAAAAGTGCAAATCTCTTTTCTTTCCATGCAGGATCCTGCATTGCGTCTGGTCAGGGATCTGAAAGTCACCAACGTTTTAGTGCCGACCCACCGATACACAGAATTACCATTCCTGGCCACCATCCCGACCCAGCTGGCCTGGTCCTACGTGAACGACGTCAACCTACTCAGTGCTGGGTACAATCTTCCAGTTAGTCTAAGACCCAGTGGCAGTGGAGGAAGCGGAATCTACGCAGGAAAACGAGGAGGCATCCTGGCGATAACTCGTTCCGATGCCCCGCGCAACATCCTCCTGGTGGCCAAGATTTCCAAGGATATCAGAAGCCCCGCCGTCAAGGACTACGGCAGCCACGTGGAGACCTACGTCTTCAAGACCTCCGAGATCTCCACCACGGTGAAAATCGAGGAGATCCGGTGGCAAGGACTCGTCAGAGAGGACTTGTCTCAGTACACCACCCGCGCCATGGTACCAGGAAACGAGACCTACAACCAGACTCTCTGCAACCGTGGCCTCTGCTGCGATTTCTTCGTCAGGGTGAACTACAACTCCGAGGTCATCCGAAAACCCAATGTCAATTATTACAGGTACTGACCTAGCTTAGGTTCGCTAAAGACTTTATAGATATATTTACACTATTTTAATAAGAAAATGAAATTCCATGGGTGTCAGGACCTTCCTTACTGTTTCCATATTCACATTGTAAAGTTTAAAACGACTTGGTTCAGGATTTCGGGGAAAAGTTTGATAAAAGAGATGCCTCAGACGTCACTTTGATATCACATTAAGTTATCATCCAGATTTCCTGGCTATCTAGTTTTGTCCGGTTCGTAGGTACCGCTTTGCAGTCTTCAACGGTGTGAGGAAGCTGACGGGCTTCACGTCTGCGGGAGTGGAGGTGTGCGGCATCATCTCCTGTACAAACGATACCCAGGACAGCTGTCGGTTCACCTTCACCAAGAACGCCACCGTGGTCCATCCCGTTACCTTCGAGTCGGTTGTGGTTTCCGGAAACTTCTCCACGGGACCGGACGTGTTGCGGCTGCCCATCACTCTGACGACCGACGTGGTGCCCCTCAACATCAGTGACTTTTCCTTCGCGTCGAAGGATGCCAATGACACCCACGCCAACGTCGCCTTTAGTCTGGTTCGTCCCCAGAAGCGACTCATGACGTTCGCCGTCTACGGGAGGAACTTCGCCGCGGATGGGAAAGACATTACCTCAGGGGCCTCCATGGTGATCCTGCTGGACCAGCTCGCGTTGATCCTGATTAATCTTACTTTGCTGTTTTCAGGAATTGTGCGGATATAATCCGTTCACTTAAACGCTACTGTCATAGTCTTATTAAGGTATTTGCGCCCAGCGTGCGTCCTTTCCAAGGAGACGGTCCCCTTCGCGTGCCAGGTCGAAGCTTCGATTCGTCTCCGAGCGATCTCTTCCTGCCGTAGACTTACCGGAGATACCTTTTTAGCGATCGGTGCCGCGCGTTGAACCATAGACGTTCTTCTCCCCGCCTCAATCGTCTTCACGTTAACGGGAGACTTCGCGCCGGCGAGGTATATCGGGCGTCGAAGTCTGCCGAGTCTTGACTAGTTTCTCTGATCTCAAATTAGGCGTATCTGATATTACATCGTAATTGTCCAGTGGAAGCGGAATGCTGCGGGGATGTGATAAGAAAAAGTAAACGAGAGCGAAGTTATAGAAAACAACGAGCGAGAAGCGTTATTATATTTTGTATAGTATAGCGTGAGATATACTTAGAATCTTACACACGCAGACAGCTGAAATATATATGTATATATATGTACATATACATGTTACGTGTACGTGTATACGATATCAATAATTTATGAGAGTTCATTGAAGTTGTGGGCTTTGATTCCTTCGACGGTGCCTTCTGGCGAAGGCAACTCAGTGGACACTAGTCATCGATCACAAATTACTACGGATCACCTTAATACCTGGGGACTTTAAACTCTGGCCCACCGTCTAGACCTGTCACTGGTTTCCTTTTGTTCATTATATTCTGAATCTTCTGCCACTCACGGTCCAATTCTGCCTTCTCGTTCTTCTCTTTGTTATACTTCCTTGTTCTACGACCATCTGCCATTTTGACACCATACTGGAACGCTGCCTTCGGCAGCGCCTCCTTATTGTTCATGTATTCGCTGTACTCTTCGGGGGTGTCAAAGTCCCATCTACCGATCGGCCCCTTCTTATTACCTAGATCCATTTTGGTATAGTCCACTTCGTCGTCCGAATCATCAATCGCGTCTTGCATCTCATCCAGTCCTGGGTAGCACTCAGCATAACCTTCGGGTTCTGCTGCCAGTTTATTGAGCAGCGCTCCCTTCTTTGGAGCATTTATATCTATATTCGATGGTAATGCAGAAACGTTAGGTAGTTGTGGAGCATTGGATTTGTCTTCGACATCTGCACGAGGTTCGTCAGGTTTGTCGAAGTAGGATCCCTTTTTCTTATCCTTTTGATGATTGGTGTTGTCCTTTTTGCTGACTGTCGGGACATAGTCACCTATATCGCCATAGATGCTGTCATCTTGCGGTCTAGGAGGAATGTCCATGTCATTCATTTCTTCTAATCTAGCACGTCCTTCTTTGTTCTTCTTTCCCTTCTTTCCATGCCTACTGCCTTGTCGCAAATACGTTAGAATTTGGGCTAATTTATTAATTACGATATCATTTGTCGTTAACGTTGGTGTTGTGTCAACAGTTGGCACATCTGCCTTGCTTCTGATTAACGTCGTAGGTATGTCTACTTCTGCATTCTCGTCATCTAACTCAATAACGTAAGCCATGCGGCCTGGAGTAAAAAGCTCGTTCCTTTCGATTTGCTTCGACTTCATAATCATGATAGTTTTATGGATATTACGGCCAATCTTTGTCTTGAATTGCATCTCATCCTCTTTCTTCTCAGGTTCTTTTTTTTCTTTGACCTTTTCCTTTGGTTTTACTAGCTTCTCCATTTCCTGTTCCTGTTCGTGTTCCTTAGCTTCGATCTCACTGCGAACCTGTGAGGACGAGGTGAGAAAAAGGATGACATGAAACAATTTTGTCATTAAAAAAGAAAAGATCTAAATGATACCTTTTGCAGAAGTGCATAATCCAGTCCCTTTACTAAGTGAGTGTGCTCCATGTCACCTCCCAAGAATTTAGATTGTTGAATCATTTGCCTTCTACGTTCAGCTGCGTCCATGCCTGACTTTAAATCAGGCGCAACTGCACGGTATGCACTAGCGCTATTCATAGGATCTTCAGCTTGATAATCTTGATTAGTTCCATCTCTACGCTCTCTAGCACGGTCCCTATATTTTTCTGCCAATTCTGCCATCTTATCCTCTTCTTGTTTTTTGAGCTTCGCATAAAAGCTTTTTTTCTTGCGACGTAATTCTGCTCTACTACCACCACTAATTGTTGGAGTTTGTGCAGTCTTAGCAGCTGCATCTCTAGCGGTTCCTGGTACAGATGCTGGAGTGGCAGATGGAACGGATGCCCTCGGCGTCATTAAAAGCTTTCGGAAGTCATCATTTGTCAACCGCACTGACATTCCCATGTCTTCGTCTGTATTTTCCGGCATCTTGATCGTCTAAATTACTGTAAGAATAATTTTAATTAGAATATAGAATACTTAGAGCGGTATTAAAGGATAATTAAATTTAATAGCCCATACATACACTGAGAATAACAGGTTTAACAACAATCAGTTGAATTTGGTTAGGACGCCGTGCTCATTTAATACTAGCAATTATCTTCACCCGACGCCCATTGGCCAGGTTAGCTTGCCACTACTTATTTTTCTTAGGAATAATAATATGGTTATTTTCCTTTTCTTTATCGGACAATAATCAACCATTAACAAAAAAATACAGAAGTCTCTGTATTCTTTGATTCGCAGAATATCTTATGCAGTCAATAAACCATTGAGATTAGAAATTATGCAATACATCACACTAAACCAACAAAGCATTACGATCATCTGCAGCGCCATCTGACGAGTAAACATGAAAACGAAGCTAACCTAATACAGAGATGAGTTTGGAGATTGCTCACGGGCAGGATCGTGCGATCGCATCCTGTGCTTCCCTCTGGTTTCGTACGTTGGCTTTAACCGTTTTTTTGCCCCCAAGTGCGGCGCAACGAATTTCTGGTAGGGGCTCGCGCACTCGCGATAGCGAGTAAACGTAGCGAGTAGCGAGTAGCGAGTAGCGATAGTTTTGACGATCATACGTCAAAAATGTCTAATCTGCTAATACATAGTTGATTAATATATTTCAAAATTGATTATTAGAATTTGGGGATTTTATGATGATTAGGATTTTATTAAAATTTATTAATCAACTTTGTATTAGATATTTTTCACGATCAACCAATTTTCAAATTCATGTTGATCTCGAGATCTCTCCGAGATCTCAATCATTTGTCAAAATTCTTTTAACCCTTTGCCCTACAGCAACACGTGAGACTCGTGGCCCACTGAACACCAAACCTAACAGTTACGTAACCTAAAACGAACAAATAACATAACATTTATTACAAACATCTAACTATAATAATAAAATCTAATAATAACTGATATCCAACTTCCATGTTACTTTTATGGTACATAACATGTTAGTTTCGAAAACGTAACATTTACCCAACAGTTATATAACAGTGTTCACTGAGGGTCAGGTATCCGGGCCAAAACTGATTATCACGTGTTAGTACATACCATCCTTATGGGATGGCACCGACCCTCGAACCAGCTGTGAGTAGAATTTAATACAGATAAAATTTCACCTTCCCATAAAATAAATAAGATAAGTTAAGGTTAAAGTCAAAGATGGCGCCACGAACCCGAGATGGTTGGTCTCTCAACTCATCTTTGTTCTTTACTTTTCTCTGTTCAAATTCTTTGACATTCGATTGAATGTGATGCGCGCGCAGATGTCATATCATGGCATAGAGAGTATACCGTTGTTCGTAAGGGATTAGTGATTTCGATTAAAGCAGTACGATTTTGTTCTCGAGATAAATAAAATAGATCTAGAACCATGGATTTATTGGGTTCTATTCTTAATTCGATGGATAAGCCTCCAACAGTGAGCGAAAGTCAAAAAGCATTGATTAAAAGTAAGCATCGATGTAACCCCGTTCGGTCATTGAAAGTGTACACACTTGAAGTTGCAATTATATTTGTAAATGACATATTATTTAATTTACATTTAGAACAGCGCGAAGAACAACAAAAGCGTCAGAGGGCAGATGCAGACAGACTTAATAAATTCAGGGAAAAGGTTGATTTTTTTATTTTTCTACTCGGATGGCGTGTGAAAGTTGTAGAGTTTGACACTTGAATTTGTACAGGTTGAGGAAAAGATAAACCAATTTTTACGCGATGACAACGCAAAGGAGTACAAGTTCGCACCTATGGAGCAAGTCTATAGAAGCATAGTGTACTCACTTTTGTTTCTCTAATTTATTGATGAAACAAATTCATAAGTTGTAATAACGTATAAATGTATTTGTTTCTATAGACATGATGTTGCCGAAATAGCCAATGTGTGGGCTTATTCTATCGGAGAAGATGGAATTGATAGACATATTATGATCTTCAAGAGAGAATATGCACCATCGGAGGATCATTTGAATGCTTTGCGAAGGGGAGAAGAATGGAACGAGGAGATAGCAAAAAGGTTACAAGAAGAACGAGTGAGGAGGGCTAAAGAAGAAGAGGAAGATGCTAAATCTAGGAAACGCAAGCAAGATTTTGTACCAAACTGTAACTATAAGGATAAGTATGAACATCTGATAGGCAAAGAAGCTGCACTCGAAGCTGCTAGAAAGACGGAAGCAAGTAGCACTTATGGCTGTGGTGAGTATAACAAAGGAGTCATACCATATCAGTTTATGGAAAATGTTATCAATTTATTCTTATAGTTCCCAGTGAAAATAAAAAAGATCAGCGAAGTATAGAACAAACTTTAGCAGACATTCGAGCAAAACGGAAGAAACTTGAAGCTGCAGCTGCTGATACAAATGCCAAAAGTGATAGTACAAAATGACATATTACTTGTCTTTTATGTAGTTACTCATGTTTTATCTCTTATTATTCTTTCATGGACTGTAAATAGTTGGAATCATGTAACCCTTAAATACAGTAACAACCTTTGTTAATTCGTTTAATAGCATACGAATTTACGTTAATTACTTAAGTATTATCAGCCTAGTTTCCACCAGGCTGAGATTATTGTATTTTCATGACAATTTAATAAAAACGACGATTTAGTACTTCTGCGTATAATTTTGTTGCAAAAATAATTCTTCCTTCGTGTATTATTTAATTACTCAACTTATATAATATTGATCGATACATTTTTAAGAATGAATAGACTATTTGTCCAGTGTTGCACAATGGTATTATACAGAATGACAAAGGAAAAAGTTTTAAATATTTTTTAAAAAATATGTACACGATACTATACAGCGCAACATATTACAGGTACTCTGTAGTTGAATATTTAGGAACTGATGTTCTTGGTGCTGGAACTGGTTTCGCATTGACAGTTGGCTCAAAAATAATTTGGTCTTTTAACGCTGTTAGCTTAGCAGATGTTTGGCCTGTGGCGCTTTTATAGAATTCTAAAGCCTTCGCAATCACAACATCACGAACATAAATAGCATTGTCTTGGACGAGTTTCTTCTAGAATTTAGAATTTGTTATTATTAATAAAGTATAATTAAATAATGAATATACTAACATTCCAACTTACCTCTTGTTTTAATTTGGAATTACTCAGTGCAGCTGTCAAATGTTGAATTTGAGTTCGCAACACAGAGACCAGTACACCGTCAATAGTGGATAAGAGTTCAGGAGTCGTTACACTTAAGCAATCCTCCAGTAGACTGATATACAATTTCGAGAAGGCTAGTGTATTGTTCGTTAATAAAATCCAGCTAACATTTGATAAGTACGACTGCGGTACAGGAATACCCAGGTCATCCAGTTCGGCCACCAGTTTATCAAGATTTTGTTGGGTTTGTAGATTCGAAGGTCTCCAAGTATCCTCCGCAGCACGCACTTTTACAGCATCGACATATTTCTCTCCTGCATCTTGTAATGCTCTTGCCAAAGGTGATCTCAATTGACCATCCAACTGATAGCGGAAGTCCATACCTAATTGCGTTAACTGGGAGAATTATGTGACATTAGTATGGTAAATGGATCGAACAAGATCAGGATTAATCGGATATGTACCTGGTCACAATATCCTCGAACCGCAGAAACACATTCAACCAGAGTACTAATAGGCACTTGTGGAATAAATACTTGCTTAATCAAATGAGATGTCAAGTGCTTGACTTCTTGACTGCACCACACTACTAAGCCTGTACATGGAAATGATATAATATTTCTCCAGTATAAATCAACAAAAATCTGTACTTACCAGATGTACAGTTCGCAGACTGAGGAAACATTTTTAAGAATTCTTGAGCCATTTCCCCGATGTTGCTAAAGGCAATTGCACTAATTTGCTTTACGTAAGGAATTGTGGCGTCTTCTCGCTTAACTCTTTTTAAACGAGTTTTTAGTGCTGCACTGCATAAGCGTAAATATAATTGAGACGCTTGGGCACTTCGGTCAAGTTGTATCAGAAGTCTAACAGCACGACGAGCGCTTCTTAAGCTTCCACCTTGATAAGCCTCTGCCTCAGATTCTAGTTCCTTTGTCAGAACATCTACGAGAGATCGTGCTCTATCGTTCACTTTTGTTTTTATATCTGCGAGAAAAGGGGTTTGCGGTGTTTCATTTAAGTATGTCCGTGCTCTCTCCAAAAGGTTGTATGCCTCTTCGAAGTGACGTTGTGCTATGCATGAATCTAAATCTTCCGTTACTTCTAGTAACCATTCTGGTAGAGGCTGATAGCTGTCTGTCTCATCAATATCATCCATTCCTGTTAATTAAAACAATCAGTCATGTGGAGCAGACAAATAATACTGGTAATTAAATTGAATTTAGAATATCTGTTGTGTATGGTCAATGATATTTTACCTAAAGTATTCGAATCTAGAGACATGGACCGAGAGGGTGCCATCATCTCCTCCTTCAAAACATTCGATCTGTCTATTTCGGTTTGATTCTCTGCAGCGAGTCGTACTTTTTTTGCTTGCTCACATTTGTCTAACCATTCTTTCTAGAAGTCAGATAATTACTTTGTCTGAATAAGTTTTTAAATTTTGCTTAAAATATTGTTGGAGAAATAGTATTTACAAACCTTACTTATAGCAGTAGGACATTGAAACACTCTTGTATCAGGAAAAGCTAATAGTTTGAATGCCAATTTAAAAGTCCCTATATCTCTAACATTTATAACTGCCAAACTATTGAGGTCGTAGACAGCTTGCATTTTATATCTTGGCGGGCCTCTTCGATTCCCATTAGCCACCCACGATGCAATCATTAATACATCATTTAACAAGTAAGCGTGAATTCTCTTTAAAGGTGTTCCTTCCAAAGGATCTAGTTCAAGAAGAGATCCTTCATGTATGCAGACTCGTCCAGGTGTCTCAACTAAACTCTGTGTAAAGAGACGTTTGCTTAACTATTTTTCATTATTTCATTTAATAATAATCTTTAGATTCAACAGTTAGGGTTGCGGATCGTTGTAATAATATTGTTTACTCACCATTGCTCCTTCAACATTTTCTAATAGTTGCACCAATTTCTGCTTTTGTTCTTCCTCTTTTGACATGCAATTATTAGAATTATCTTGAGGACCATCCAATGTGTCATCAAATGTGACTCCCGTCATGGTTGTTGCAGTAAGTGCACTGAACAGCGAACGCTGCTCACTGAGTAATTGTGACAACTGATACGTTTCACTTTCAAGATGTGAAATCTCCTTTGCAGTCTCAATAAATTGCATATAGTTTTGGTAAACATTGCGTTTCAGTTGAGCAGAAGTAACATCAGCGAGTTCTTGAATTTTTGCTCTCTGCTGTCTGAGCTCGTCTGCGCCGACACACTGAGCACTGAGGTCTTTCACAACTGCATGACGTTAAAATAAATGATTAAATAAAGTTAAATGAAATTAATTCAAATATCTATAATGTGTCACAACTTACACTTATCTGGATTGAAATCCTCGGCTGCAAAATTTTTTGTTAATCCCTCACTCATTTTTACAGTGTCCATTCACTTCTCGATTTTAAAACAGCATCAATTGATATATTCAAGATCTTTAGAAAATAATTTTTTCAATCATTTAATCCTTGCCATACCTTGACACCTTTTCCCAACTTCGAAGTTCTGAATCTTCCCACTTTGTTGGACGTGTTCAGAAAAGTTCGATGCTGGATTTTGCAGTTGTTATCAGTTGGTACATTTACACGTTAAATTTAAACCTTAAACCGATTTTATAACTTCTGATGTCGGTGGGAAAACCGGTGTAAACCATTGTTTACACAGTGCTTAACTTCAATAGCACACGTAAACGTATTTAATTAATCTTCCACCTCTATTAATATTTTATTTAGAACAAATTTTCAAATTATATTAAATTGCGATGTAAAGGAGGTTGTGCTTATTAACCCGACAGAAATAGGCAGAGGAACTACAGAAACATGAAGTTCCATATTCACGTAAATTATATCGGGTATGTATATACATACAACTCGTGACATAAAACCTAGTTATTTACTGAAAAATAACTATGTATTACTTGGAATATTTTACTTAACCTAACATCTTGTACAAGGAACATACATTTTCGTTAATAATTCTGTCGCAAAATTTCTACTAATAATTTGCGAATGAAAGGCACTGGTTAACCTCAATGTATTGTCCAGATTTTTATTAGTGCAATCCCTTGCTCGATTATTCTAAAATTATGGATCGGGTATGTAGACATTTTAGGTTACTTACAGTACTTCATGTTTTTTCAGCACTTCGAGTAACCGGAGATTATTGATAATTTAGGAAATCATAAAAGAAGCTGATTCGAAGCCGCTTATATTATTTGGAAGAGACGTAAGGAGAATTCCATGCTTCCGAGACAGTTTCCTCTATGGAATCAGTAGCGGTCTAGGTGGATTATTAACAGCGTTCCTGTTCACTAGTAGAGGGCAGTTGTCCTGTCATATCGGAATGGGTACCTTTGTCTGTGTTACATTGGGATATTGGACTCAATGTCGGTACGAACGTTTAAAAGACATACAAGCGAGGGCAGCAATTGAAGCATCAATCAACGAAGCCGCAATTAGTGGACAATTTGACGAGTCTTCCGATAAACCGCCTCTAGTCGATGCATAGTTCCTGCGAAGATATATAATTAATGTATTAAGAACTCGATCGAGGCCACATTGCATATGTATATAACCAAATTAGTGCAGTGTATTATGTATGTAGATATGTCCATTTATATCTGCTAGGTTTACTTTACTCACAGATTTACTCTAGATGCTACATGAGTATTTTCAATACGAACAGCTGACAGAAGTTATTGTACATTGACTGGATCTTAAATTAAATCCTCGTACTGTTGGAAATACAAATATTTAACCATGAAGAATCAGAGAAGCATCTTGCGAAGCCTTGTAGAGCAAAAAGCGCATTGCAAATGCCGATTTAGACATTGAAAAATACACTCTTGAGCTTATTTCTGATCTTCCATTCGGAACTAATGAACATTTATTTCTTTAGTTGTCGAGCCCCTTTTGGTTCTATAAAAATCGACCACCCCTTTCATGGGCAACCTCGTGACTGTTTCTTGTTTGCAACACTGACTCTAAAATTAGCATCCAGCTACTCTAACTCGGTTTTGCTTTCAAACTCGGTGGAGAAGATCCTGGTCTTTTTATCCCATATCAGGATTTTTCTTGTCCGTGAAAGCATTCCCTTCTTCGAGACCCCCAAGGTTCTTTGCCCCTCTTGACCTAAGGTTATTGCGGATCTACGATAGAAACCCCTTAACCTCTGGGGGATTAACAATTCTTTTCAGGTTGAATCACGAACGTGACTCTAAAATAGCATTCCGACAAGAATTCGTGCATGTTTGTCAGCCGTTAATGACTTTTCCACTCCCATCCTCCCGTGTCTAAAGGTTGGGGGTTCCACGTGTTTATGACAGCAATTCTCCATAAAACTGGGATCCCTTTCGCAAAAAAGGAACAGTCATCCGACCAGTTTGCTACTTCTAGCAAGCATGGTCCTTTTGTGGCTGCGGTCGTTTTGGAAATTGACCTTTATTTCCATTTTTATTCCTTCTTGATGCTTCCCTTTTACCGCTCCGAGCGAGAGGTCGAAATCGTTCTGGGAAGACCAACCGGAATCATTTTATCGTGGCCCTCGATTGGCCGTAATATTGGTATTTCTCAACCTGTTGAGGCTTTAAGGATGATGATTCGTCCAAAGACGAGCGAAGGTAACAAGCAACTGGTTCAAGCCGGATGTACAACATATTGTTAAAAATATTCCTAAAATGTATACACTTGTGGTACAATGTTGGGATAAAATTATAAATCTGATGTTTTAAAAGTGGTACACCTTTATTACAGATTTTTGACTGAATGTATAATTTATTGCCACCATGTTATAATTTTGAGAAAAATAGGGAAATTCATACCAGTGCTAAATTTATCAAATATATACACGAGATGTTATAAAATTAGAATGTTTTCCCTTTTTTTTTTTAGTTTATGTGGGAATCAAAAAATATAAAGTCAGCGACGAATCATTCTGGCCTGACTCCAAACATCATCGCCGACATTTACGATCGGAGGTGGAGCCAAACTAATGGTCCCTGATAACTAGATACCGGCAGTGCGTCATTTATATTCACGTCTCGGCCGAGGGCTTTGAAGTCTGCCTGTGGTGGCCGTAATTAAATTAAGAAAAAAGAAATAGGAAAACATAGAAAGGAAAAAAACCAAGCAGATCTTATATCGCAAACGGTAGTACCCGATCCGGATATCTAGGACATTAGCATTTACAGAAAAATTCATTTCGAACGCCCGAGAGATTCCAAGATTATTCAATTACGCGTTTCCTAATATGTCGAGGATTATACGAGATGACGTGAATCCGTCTAGTTCTTAGTTTTTTTTTTCTATTTTTATTTTTTCGTCAACGTCGCCTCAAGTCCTAATTAATCTTTCGACGTGTTTCTGCAGGAGGAAGTCACATTAAATTATCGTTACAGAACGGAAAGGAGCGATGAGCTAACGACTGACCCATCTCTTGGTTGGACAAGGTCGATGGTTTGGATAAAACTGTTTCATAGGATGGGCGCCTTTTATTCCCGACTATATTAGTGTCTACTTATTAATGTTATTTATCGCTCTTGGCCGACGTAAATCTGCGCTCCCCCATAGTCAAGATAGTCGGGAAATTCATCCACGAATTCCTCCACGGGAAGAAGAAAAGCAGACATTTGCACTTTTAGAAAAGGATGACATTGCTGATCGAGTTTTGCTCTGACTTAATTATTTTTCTCCTTGCGTTTAACTCGGCGTTATCTATGGATCCTTATATGTATTTGGCGCGAAACTCTGCCGAGTTTCCTGATTCTCAGTTTTTTACTTGAAGTCGTAAAAATCTAAACGGTGGACTCGACTTCCAAATGCCAGCTACGTTTGCTTGTAGCTAAATCAAAATCGACCATCGAGCTAATTGAGTCGTCGAGACTTCCTGGACGAATGATAGGATTTTACTTAATGTTTAAGAATTGCAAGCTAAAGGACCGCTCTTTTCGGCGATTCGACGGTGAAACGATCTCGTAATTTACGTTGCCAAACTGGGGTCAGCTGGTGAGATTAAACTCATCACATCGGCAGCTTTCTAACTCGTTCGCCAGAGACGGGAACTACTTCTCTCTCCTATTCTTTTTCCTTTTTTCACGGGCATAATGGCAAGGCTATTAAGTGTACCAGAGCCTCGGGCCAAATTTACAAGAGTGAGATGTTTTCGCTCGAGTTAACACGAGGACGTGTTATACGTCCTGCAATTTTTAATTACAATTTTTGCTGCGAAGATCCTTTACACACACGGAGAAAAGAAATGTCAGAGAGCCGAGGAAATAGTTTCTTAATTCAAGGAATAATTATTTGAGTCGAGTTAACTTGAATAAATTGGATGCACATTTATTCGGAATTATTACAATCTATTCGAGTCAAATAATTATCCTTGGAATTAACGAGACATTTCTTTGGTACTATTAAAAGAAATCTTTATTCGGTTCAATGGACTTCTTTTTTTTTCTCAGGGTAGGATGATCATTTTTTTTATGAAGATCCTTTGCTCAGGTACAGTCATTTCCAAGTTACAAATTTATCATAAACAAGGTAATCCCAGCTTTCCCGATATTGACTCGAAGAAGACATCCTTTAAGCGTTATTATCACATAATTTCCTGGTTTCCCTCTTTAGGTAACACATATCACGCACGTTGCTCTATTGTGGGCGATCTCATCATCAATGCCGTGGAAAATAAATCTCCTTGATAAGTTATTAGAATGGAAGTCCTGATCAACACCTCTAAGAATTCTTAAGATGAGCCCGTGAATAATTACCGGAATTAAATAAAAATTCACCAAATAAACAGACATGCGGTGCAGTGACTTTCCCTCAAAAAAGCACAACGATGTGCAATTGCAGAAAGGAACGTCGATCTCTCACATAAGGTGAACGTCCTTTTGATGAAATCATACCGATTAATAGAACATACTTCATCATAAACCGTTTTGATTATTTTTCTCACCTGTGGATCGTTTCTCCGGATTTCAGCAACCCGTGTTCCAAATTCCGCGGCCGATGAACAGGTAGATTAACATTAACGGAGGCTGGAAATAAAAGGAGAAGAATAAGAAGTCGTCTGTTACAAAAGACAGGACTTTGCGAGCGTACGTAGGCGAGCATAAAAGTACACCTCGCTCGATGATTTAATCACGATTTCCATACGGGGTTATTCCGCGAGACATCCGGTTCAATCCGTAAATATAGACACTGCATTTGCAACCCAGGAGAGCATATAATTAAAAACATTAACGTTCATCGAGGAACGGATGCGCGTTCTCGAGAAGAGGATCCCGGACGTTTCTTTCGCGTTTTCCGTTTCTGGAAGCACCATGTTCGGTGGATTATTTTCGATAAGGTTACCTCACGGTTTAATGGGCCCGACAGTCCGTTATTATCGATGGTCTTTCACATTCCGGCGATAAATTCCACGAGCGGAATTAACACCGAGTAGATCATCCTCGGTTCCTCTAAGCCGCGGAGAGAAATAAATTTGTCACCACGTCCGGCCGGGTGAAAGAGCGATTTTTGCCGAGGTATCGCTTTCTATCGTTACGGCATTGAAAAGCCTCTTAGAAACTTAAGATGTCCAATACGAGCACCTGTTATACCCGGGAGGAGGCGAGAAAGAGAGGCCCGGCGCAATTGCAATGGCATTACGCAATTATTCAAATTCCTCAGGGATCTCGTTAATGAAATCGTCACCTTACGCGAGAGCTCATCGAATACCGAAAGGAAAGCCGCGTTAATAATTACCCCTGCTCGTAAACATCCCGCAAGACTTTCTTGATTTCTCAAATTGGACCCTGCGACGTCGCCATTTTTAACAGCTGAGAATTTTGAGTGTCTTCCGGCTTTGAGAAAAACTGCCCTTGGTCCCTTGAGACAAAAATTAATTGAAACTGCTTGGGTTGGCCGCGGACGATTTTTATCTCGTCAAATGTCGAGTCGTGTTTCAAAGTGCAGTATTGACATTGTGCAATTATTTAATATCTTCGGGGATCTCGTTAATAAAATCGAACCCTGCGACGTCGCCATTTTGAACAGCTGAGAATTTTAATCGTTCCGGCTCGTGTTTGGACGAAAATGCCTTCGGTCGACCCCTTGAGAGAACAATTACTTATAATTACACGGGACGTCTTCTTCTCGTCAAATGTCGAGCCGTGTTTCAAGTCGACCAAGGCCGAGCCAATTTGTCACTTCGGAGCACACCTCGATGCTCAATCACTGGAATCCCAAATCGAAGGCCGTCCTGGGCTCCTTTCTAGGTGAGCTCCGGCGCCTCCGCTTCCTGAAAGGGAGGTCGACGGCTCATCCCGGTGTCTTTTTTCAGGCTTCGCATATTAAGATCCCTACACACAATGGGTGGTATATAATCCGCAATTCGTGATTCTCCAATTCGTACAAATTTGTCTATAAGCAACGAATTGGCATCCCTCTGTGCGGTTCGTGATTCGTGATTTTCAGTGCACCGATTCGTACAAATGTTTTACATGCAACTAACTGGCATTACACCCTATGTGGTTAATGATTTGCAATTTAGGGTGCATTAATTCGTACAATGAAAGCAGTATACCCTACCCGAGTCGAAATTTTGGATTTTGACCCCCACAACGCCCACGGTATAAATATTTAAAGTAGAGTTAAAATTTGTATTCAGGTCGTGATTCGTAAAAATTCGCCAATCTGGCGAAGCAGTATTAACTGGATCGAACCAATGACGTTGCGTATACATTATTTATACACAAGACACACCATGAATCGCGAGTGTGTAGGA